AAATTTAATTAATATACCTTATTTTTTATTAACTTAACAGACAAAAATAAAAAATCTGTAGTTAAATAAAATGCGTTCAAACATTTGTATTTTTCGCCTGTTATTAAGTATAGTCACAATTTTAATAATTCAAAATTTACGCCAATATCCTTGCATACAAATAATTATGATAGCTTCTCCAGCTGTACTGCTGTTCGAACGTATATAATATCTACTTTAAGATATTCATATTGTGAAAGGATTTAAATAAGTTACTTAAGAAACATCTAGCAGTCATATATATATATATGTGGGAATTGTTTTTGGTTATTGACTAATTTATGTTATTTAAAACAAGTAGATTTATTCAAGTAAGTTGAGTTAAAAGATGATTACAGCTGTTCTCTCGTCAACGATCGTTCTTCCTCAAAAACGAGATCGTCATCGCTCCTCGAAAACATCGCTGACCTCGTTAATAATATACACAAATACTATACACATAATCAGACTGACATCAACCGTCGACTCGCCTCTAATACGACTCGGATCGACGTACGTCGATGTGCGAAATATTATTCTCCCAAATATATAGACAAATTTTCTGATTATTTAAGCAATCCAGTTAATCTGATTATTTAAGAAAGACCAAGAAAACTCGATATCAATTTATAATTATGCTACTATAAAAATAAATTGTATTTTTTATTAAACGATGTAACATTTTTATATTTTTTAGTGTGCAATATAAAATTATCCTGACTTCCGGTCATACTGTTTCATTTCGTATGTGTGAACTTTTAAACCCCCCCCCCCCCCGAACGAATATGCTGAGTGCGCCACTGATTATGTAAATTTATTTTCGTTGCATTTTTGTTGTAGTTATCATCTAATCTAATTTAATGTATATTTTTCATTAATATTTTTTCAAGCTTTGTTGACAATTCATATTATTTTAATCATGTTTATATTCAAATTAAAAGAATAAATTAGAGATCGAAACGTTGCTGTATAAAAATAGTAGGCTTGTTTAATATTTTTATAAACTTTTTTTATTGTATTGTCAGTTGCACTTGATTTGCTTGATTTTCATTTTTTTTCTGTTTTTCAGCTTTTAATCAACAAACCTTTTTCAATGTCTTTAATCCTTTCGATGCGATAGGATGAAAGTTTGAACAGTTGCTATTAACTGTCGTTATATAAATATACAAGTATGCACGTATGTATATATCGCGATAAAGCATTAGTCATCTGCTTTCGCAACGCGAAATATATAAAATCCGTTTCTGTCACATGTTGGTATTTTGTTCTCTTTTCAATTTTTTGCCGAGTTACAGCGTTTTAAAAATTCGACGCGCGTAGACTATTTGTGAATGAACGCGGCGTATGTAACTATTACGCAATTGTTTACATTGTTACGATCAGTTGCTCATCTAATCAGCAGCAATAAACTAAGCGAGCATCGGTTCACTGAAGTTCGTCAACTGGTTTTATCTAGATTGGAATCACTCGGAATATAATCATCACAGGTTGATATAATTGTTAATTATTGCAAGAAAAAGTCCCAGCATATTGAAACAAGTTTTTTTCTTCAAACTAAAACTGTGATACTTCTTACATGTGCTCTTCAAAATGGCTTGTCACAGACAATTAAATATCATCGACTAATCGCAAAAATAAAATTAACTCTCCAAATGTGACAGTATAAGAACACAAAGTGGACATTAAACTTACACATATGCGTTTTAACAGATTCGAACATACACACGCGCCTTTTTTCTGTTCTTTTGTATTCGTTTAATTGTGTCTATTTAAACACTTTAAGCTTGTCGAACAGAAATGTTGAAATAAAGCTGTCAAAATACAAAATGTCGAACGCAATAATCTCTGCAACAATGATTGATAATAAACAAAATCATCAATGCGAACTTTGCGATAGACAAACCGATCGATAACGCGATGACATCGAAAAGAGGCTCCAAAAGTCAATAATCTTTTTTAAAGTGGGATTAACACAGCTTGTACACAATTGCGCAACTACATATAACAAACTTCTTTTCACACAGCACTTATATAGAACCTCTGTGAAGTTGGTCTCCCATTTTTGAAACTTGAAAGAAATAGTTAGAATTTTGGATGCCCCCCGAATAGTTCTAGAGTTCCCAGTTCATTTTAGAAAGAATTCTGCCATTTAAAGTAACGAAAACACTCTTTGGAAAGTCAAAGGGCCAACTTCACAGACGCTACTCCACCGAAAGAACGAAAAGATTAAAATTTCTACTTCATACGTGATTTAAACGCGAAACAAACGAATTGCAGCATGACATGAATATGTAGAAAATTAAACAAGTATTACAACATTGCATAATTATATAAAAATGTTAACTTCTATCCACTTTCGCGAGACTAGATCAGCTCGTGCGCAGGAAATTCACCGCTCTGATTGTTTTTGCGCTTGCATAATCTTGCGCAAAGCGTCCATCGTGAATTGCGTTTTGAAAACCCGAGGGGGATAAACGTCGCGGAGGGTGGAACGCCCGGATCCCATCACTTTAGCGAGGATACCATGTCGTCCTCGAAACAACCTGCTCGGCAATCGATTGGTCCGCTTTCCCGGACAGCGACCGGTGCGACAGGCTTCTCCGCATTGATATTCAGTAGCGGCCCTCGTCTCTTCGAACCGTCAAGAAATTTTACCCCAGGCAATGCACAACACGCGCACTCCCCGTGGAATCGCTAAGTTCTCGTCGCCGACAACGGCGGTTCGAGTATCGAATAATTATACAAGTCGAGTAAGTAGCTCGATGTCGTGACAAGCGTGACGAGCGGAATTCGCTGTCCGCGTAGTGTTGCGTCGTCGCAATAGAATCCTTCTTCTTCCGCCGTGAATAAGTATATCGACTCGTCTTTACCGTTAATTACACTCATCGCAAAATGGCCAATTGAAGGAATCGAAACGCGGCACAGATACGCTTGTGGGGGGTGAAAGGGATTATTTTTCAACATATAAATTACCGCGTAGGAGGCATTATCTTGCAATATCGTGTTACTTTAAACATTACATTCTGTTTTAAAATTATTATTTAAAATTTACGTTACAGCTATTATTCCGGTTGTTATTTTAAACTTCTATATGACATGTGTATTTTGAACGCCCATTTTCTGCCCGATAGTTAGCAAATCTATAGTTGATTATTTTCGAAAAATTACACATGCAATTTCACTGACAGCAACATAAGGTAATAGTAACTCTCGATTGAACGCGTTCGGTTTTTCTATTTTACGCGATGAAATTCATATCTATATCGATACGTTCCAGAGCAACAATCAAAGAGCATGACCAGCTTTGCAGCGGAATGGCTTTGATCGTTCTATTAAATATCCCTTGTCTATTGAATAAATCTATACCGTTATATGTGAGTATGGTAGATATTTCCATTCGCCGATGAAAACGATTGTTGATATTCCACTTGTGATGTGCCCCGCCGATTTGACGAAACCGATGCATTCAGGTATTAAACTGAAATATCAAATCAACAGCAGAGTAACCGTGTATCCCTACGCAATTTTATAAATCCAGCTCAACTTGCAGATATATCGCTGCACAAAACAGGAAACAATTATACAACAAACCCCAAACGGCAAGAAAAATCTGCTTCATAATACAAATATTTATTGATTTTCAAATATACAGCTTCCGCGCGATTAACATCAATGTAACAAATGAATAATAATCCTTATATTAGCAAGAATATAGTTTTTTTTTTATTATATAAAAGATGTTCCCTCTTTTGGAGAAATTGTATTTTTGCGTCGAATTAACGGAGCTTTCGACTGTTCCATATAAAAATAAAAACTTACTAAACATCCTCATTTTATTCGCGCACATGTATTTATTATATTTTATGGAGTTGCGAACTTACATATCAATTACATGGCAATGCGAAAGCAATTACCGATAGAAATCAATCTGTCTGCGGTGCTTCGTCAATTTTCACTAATCCGATTAATATATCGGCTTTCTGCCGGGCATTCAACTGGTGTAAATTAAATTATTTATTGAGTATTACACTGCGAATGAGAATTTGAGCATCGTTCTGTCTCGCTTAATGAGAAATTGTGTTCGTCAATGCGAACTCTTATGACGAATATCGCGGAACATCAATGACAACGCACAACGCGCTGAATGATATCCACGCGAACGCACGATATTTATCTGTTATAAGATATTAATAAAGGGGAATACATAAAAGGAAAGCAGACGCGCAAAGAGAAAATCGATGAGAAGTTAATAGAATGTGAAATGTTCGCGAGTCGTAAGGAAATCTCGATTGGCACTTGAAGCTTCGAAAGCGGACAGGTCTTGATATTAAATTAGAATATTCTCAACATATACGACACCGCGTAGGTATATCTCGCATAAGACTCCTTCCGTGGAGATGCGAATGCATCCACCCGCCTTGAATATCAATTCCTTTCCCCGCCGTAAGAAGAAAATCTATATATTCACATGCGTCCAACATCGAAAGGTTTCGGTAGCGCGTTGAGTTTTCTCCAATGTATCAGCCGATCGATCGACGGCCCCACTTAAATTAGAATAACTCATTTTCTTAATAGAGTAAAAAATTATGCTGCTTTTTGTTATATAAATATCAACACATTTAGAAATTACAAGCAATTAAAAATAACACTTCCGAATCTGATTCAAATTATGCAAGCAAAATGAGAAATGTCAAGTTTAAATTTATCAAACAGCAAATCGATTGTAATAAAATAAATATTAATAATTAATATCAAACATTAAATACGATGAAAATGAATATTTTACTGTCGCAAGTTTTTGCGGAGCAAAATTCGTCCGAGTGATCGAGATAAGAATAAGCGAAAATAGAAGAAATATCCGTCACGAGTGTGTTTCTTATCGCATACGTTGACGAGAAAGGCACATTAGGAGAATGCATGCACGTTACTCCGGGCGGGTACGAATAATAACGCGCGTGCATCGCCGCCCCGCATGCGTCGGCTACTACCCCTTTATACGAAATTCCGGCATTAGGAAATGCGGCGCAGGGGCGAAAATCAAGCCTAGACCGGCTGGCTGGCTGACTGGCTGGCTGGCGTGTCTGGAGACCGTAAGAAATGATAATACAGCCCAGCTGCGTGTGTGGCGCATACATAACGCCTATATGTGCTCTTATATGCGGCCCCCTGTGCACCACGCGGATGCCTCGCGCGCGGATGTATGGCTCGCCGAAGGGGGATATTTATGTGCGCCATAGCGTGAGCGCAAAGCATACCTCGTCTCGCCGGGCCCTTCTTTAACCTCCCGCAGGCCTCTGTGCCCGTCGAGCGCACACCCGCACGAATGCTTTCGGTGGACCGTTACTTTCGAGGTGTAATTCGCCAGATTACCATCGGATTGAGTAATTTTGCCGTAATCGCATCGTATGGTCGAATCCTTTCCGACACCGCCTCCTCCTTCGACGTATGTTGATATACGGCCGGCGCTTGTTCACATCGCATGCGACCCCAACGACCCTGATTTCTCGTTTAACGACACGCGTGTCGTTATACGAGGCTGGTTTTCAAGCGGATAGGCTTTTGAGTGTACGGTGAAGCGGTGTGTAATTACGAACATGCCGAGATTTGCAAATTGCAAAACAAAATTGTAAAGCACGCTGAGATTCAGATTTAGTAGGCAAGCATTCCAGCTTCTTGGATTTTCCAAGAATGAAAGGTTGTAATAAACTAAAAAAAAAAAGAGAGATGATTAAAATTCGCAAAAATTATACTGAACAATTTTTTGAGCGATTCGACTTGGCCTTCGGTACATGCAATACCCTTTGCTTCATCATTCAGCGAATCGATAAAAAAACGCACTCGAGTTTTTCTGATATCGAATATCTTTCCGGCTGCTCGCATCAAGGCAGTACTGTTGTAAATATTTTTCTAAAATCGTTTTTCGTCCTTTGCAATAGGATTTTTCTAAACAGCGTCGCGCGTTAAACTCGCGAAGCAACTGTTTGCAGGAAGATCTGATCCACGCTATAATTCGTCGTAATCTAAATCGATTACACTTAATAGCCTTCAGACTAGCCGTAATGATAAGGGCGGTCAATGGTTAGTCCTGATGACGGCCAGATCAGGCCTAGACCGATGAACGAGCCGTCGTCGTGAAATCCGGGATTAATAGCGCGTGAACTAATTCGAATGTCTAATAAATCTTGGCAGTTTCTCCGGCCACCCTATCGCGCTTGCACCAGCTGGATTTCTCTACGTACGAAGACGGTCGGTCAAGGGAGCAGTTGAGATGAGTTCGACTAATCCGCGAATTTCGTCAACAGCTCGACCAAACGCGGCTACTACTTCTAATTACAATTTGTCGCCGAGAAACCGTGGCGGAAACGGGCAAAACTTCTATTCCTGCACGGAGAAGAATACGGAATTGAAGCCTGGAACACACAAACTGGGTCACAACCCCCCAGTCAGCCACGCTACGAAGTTTCGAGTCTCACGGGCCTCCGCTACTATGTAGATATCCGATCCATATTGTTATCAAACTGAATGGCTGACAAATTACGCCGACGAGTCCCCGAGACGCGATATCGAACGTCGAATAGATGCACCCGCCTTCCGTATGATACATCGTGTTCGATATTATAATACCGTGAATTCTATTATACGCGAAAACCATATGAATGTCGAAGGATGACGATATATTTATTTACATGTTACCGTATTTCACGACGACTCGTCTAGAAAATAAGAGAATTTAGAGGACGAGAGTAATACTTTTATCAGTGTCGTGTTGAAATCTTCTCAATTCTTAAATTGTTTTTGAAAAATGCTTTAAATACTGTCCCTGGAATCATTTTCAACTCTCCGACATATCGTGATGTTTATATAAAAATCATAAATATTTCAATTTGTGGATTAAAATATTTAAAAAATAGATTTTTAATTTCTTTTATTAAGTAATGAATTTAATGAATTATTTGCGGTTACACGATTCGTGTATAAACAATAAATCACCATGCGACGCTTGTGCAGTAAAATATCAATGTATATTTAATCGGACGCTGTCTATTTCGAAAATTTACATAATGCATACTTTTTTTCTAAATAAATGAATAAATTAACAAATTTTACAGTTACACAATTCATGTGTAAAAATAAATAGCCGTGCAATGATTACGCAGTAAAACATCAACATGTAATTAATCAAGCGTTTCCTAAATCGCCAAAATCCATACATAATACATATGCATACATTATAATATATATCCATACATAATGTTGTTATCGTTTGCACCGCCCTTACCAAAGCATTATTCGATAACGTTGTTATCCCGCGTAGGTAAATGCAAAATGTGAAGCTACATCTACGAACGTTCTCACACAGAGAAATATTCTAACTGAAAATATAACATCGCATATTGATAAAAATCCTGATGGATAAATTTTTTGTCTGTCAAAAAAACTTGAGAATCAATCGTCGTTAATATAGTTATTCGTGGTCAATTCAGAAAATGAAAACAATCATGTCACTGATTCTTCAAAACAGAATTATTCAGCCTGCATCTTTCTTTTGTTACAGATATGCTCGACCATGTGCTCGCCACGTGCTCGCTAGTGACATGACAAGTGCAGACATCACAATTTTGACAGCTCCGAGATCAAACAGGACTCTTCCATCCTCGAGATGGCGTTCGCATCAAACTGAGAACTGCATTCGACTTCCAGTCTCGATTCTCGCCAAATCGATGACGCGACGGAACCGAGATGAGATATCAGGCGTCTGTTTGAGGTTAGACAAAGAGTGTCAATAATCTTTGTCACATTCGTACGGTTTCTGTCGCGAATAATTAATCGACTGTGCATGTAGTACGACGTTACACCAGCCAGCATCATGAGTAAAATGTACTCAACCGCGAACCTGTCCGACAAAGAGCTGAAGGAACAGGGTAACCGTCTCTTCAGTCTGCATAAGTACGAAGATGCAGCTAATTGTTACACCAAGGCGATTGTGAGTAACATTTATATATTATATTATGTTACCATGCGATTGTGAATCGAAATTTTAAATCTACACACTTTCATGCGTCAAAATCTTTATTGTTGCGCAGCAAAGTATTTTTTGTTTTGAGTCATGAATTATGCGATGTTCCTAGATGACGATTCTAGTGTCTTGAAGTTTGAATTCGACGTAAACGAGGGAAATTTAAATTTTTATTACGCCGTTTTTATTGCAGATAAAAAATCCAGATCAAGCGTTATATTTTACAAATCGGGCACTGTGTCATTTGAAGATGAAACAGTGGGAATCGGTGTGCAAGGACTGCAGACGGGCCTTAGATATAGATCCGTGTCTGATGAAAGGTCACTTCTTCCTAGGACTCGCCTTATTGGAATTGGAACTTTTTGATGAAGCGGTGAAGCATTTACAAAGAGGTACACAATAAAGTAGACTAATGTAATTATTGTGAAATGCTTGACTTTATAATACAAAATGTTTAATACCAAATCTTCAACGACATAGCTGTGGACTTAGCAAAAGAGCAAAAACTGAATTACGGTGACGATATCACTAGTGTATTGCGACAAGCTCGTAAACGTCGCTTCCAAATAAGGGAGGAACAGAGGATCGCACAGGATATCGAGCTGCAGACTTATCTGAGTCAGCTGATCATAGATGATGCAAAACGCAACTTAACAGCTTTGCAAGAACAGGAGCCGCCAAAAGATTCCGATGCAGAAGCTAGTTCAGCCGAGTTTGCCAGGAACAAGGAAGAGATTGAGGAGAAGAGAGATACCTGCGTATCGCGACTGAATGATCTCTTCGCTAAAGTTGATGAAAGGAGAAAGGTTTGTTTCTTTTTTGTTCTTAAAAACAATTACCTGAGTTTATATAATTCTGTTAATACTTGCAAGTATTACTTGCTCACAGAAAAGAGAAGTGCCCGACTACTTGTGTGGTAAGATCAGCTTCGAGATTCTGCAAGAGCCGGTGATCACACCGAGCGGTATCACATACGAGCGAAAGGACATCGAGGAACATCTTCAACGGGTTGGTCATTTCGATCCAGTCACACGCGTGCGTTTGACGCAGGATCAGCTGATTCCAAACTTGGCGATGAAAGAAGTGGTCGACACCTTCTTGCAGGAGAACGAATGGGCCTTGCATTATTGATGTCAATGCGTAGTTTACTGCCATAGATTTAAGTTGACCCGAGAACGATTTTTGACGACAGAAGAGGGAATTCGATTATTGATGACAGGAGGAGGATACCTAAAAGGAGAAATCTCAAAAATGTAAGATAGTACATGTAAAGAATTAAGTATTTTGTTACCGTTAAATATTTTTCTGAAACACGCCATGTAAAAGATGCGGAATGCTATTGTTATCAGATCCTGCGGATCTAGCGTAAGTACGCCAGTTGTAATTAATTAGCATAACATTAATTAGCGTTACATAAATCATGTAAAAAAAATATATCACTTCCGTAAGTGCTATATGTACAGCGTGTTCTGTTATTAGTCGGCATAATCTCAGGAGCAAATTCAATACATTAAAATGATAAAAAAAGATTCATATAAATAATATACAAGTTCTTAGTATCTTGTATTATTATAATTAGTGTATAGATGTATTATTTTTTTAAGTATCTATAACTTTTGATTGATAAAATTCTCATTTTCGTTACAATTGCATTTAATAAACAAGCTTGTTAAATTAGAACTTTGAAATAAAGTTAAATATAAAAGCTCAAAAGTTGATTGAAAGTTCTAGCACAATGGTTCGAAGAGAAAACATAGGATAACAAATGCTCGTATGTAGTATGTAAACTTCTTGTTCTACCATAAACAATAAATTATTTATTTTATCATCAGAATTGCTTATATTTCTCTTGTCTCATTATTGAAAGAATTTTTTTCTATTTTTAATGTGTGAGTAGTAAAGAAGAGCTTATATCCACTCAAGGTATTTATTTTAACATTCAACTGACAACAATATATTCATATGTGTATGTATATATATGTACAGTTTTACGTATACGCAATATTATTTGTATATATATATATCGCAATCATCGCAATCATACATAATAATAATAATTATTATCCGTCCGTTATCGGTATATTATTTTGAATTATTGCGCAAGCTACATCCAGAATATATGATTAACAAAACCTTGATAAGATAGATCACTTTTTGTAGCCTTAATGATGATTCACAGCAGTCATTGTGATAATGTGCTGCTGCGACATATCCCCCCCTTTTTTTATCATTCTTTAATTAAATTCCTAATTGTTGACTATGTTTTAAAGAATTAAAATTTAAAGAAGTTGAAAAAAATTGTCAAGTTTAGTCAGAAAAATATACGATATTGACTTTAAAAAAAGCAAAAACAATCTTCAATGAAGTTCTTTCACTTCCAAAAGATTTCGGAAAGGAGATCGAGCGAGTATATGAGATAAAAAACTAGTACATACGTTGTAACAAATGATATGATATCAAGATATGATTTGTCTTTCGTCATTAATTAGTCGACGATTTCCGGCATTACTTAATCGATGACTTCTATCGTCATTGTTTATGTAATTAGTCGCTTAACCATTGCTAATGCAGTTTATGTTTCTGCTGCTTATCTTCGCTAATATAATAATTTACTAAATAACTCGGAAGAACGAAATTCTACTTATTGTCGGCATTAATATTTGTACGTTTTAGGCGAATACTCCACAACCGATTATGTAGTCATTAATTCATTAACTCTCTGCACTAGAATATTCAATATATAAAGCAACCAAATCTCATTAATTATCTGTATCGAGATTTGTATCAATCATTTGTAATGAGTGATGTATGCGAAACTCGTTATTGCTATAAATTATTCTGCTGGAATGTAATTGGAAGTATGATAAGGATAAATGTATAAAATAATATTCTGTTCCTTAATTCAGCACGGAAAGTTATTCAAAGTGCAAAGAGTTAACTGGAGAAAATATCACTGGAAGATATCAGGTCATCTGAACAGTGTCGCAAAGAAGTGCGAACAGGAAGGTTCCATAGAATGTTTAAAGACACCTTCGATGTTCAATTTCGACCTGAATTCTAAGTTTCCTTTTTCTTTTTAATCAAATACTATGATGCATTACTTCAATATATATATATATTGTCTATCATTTATTTTTTTATACTACACTTTTCACGTCAGGTCGAATTTGAACACGCACAGCACGATTGAAATTAGAATAATTGACCTACGTGAAACTAATTAATTGATTAATCTACACGGCCTGGATAATAGTCTCTCTTCGTCCGAAGAAACCGGTTCTATCGGCCGAATCAATTACCTATCGATTTTCCCAGGCTTGTACGTGTATCGCATGCTGCGCAACGTTAATATTATTGTCAAGCATTGATTTAGTCCAATTATTGTCATCAATTTTCTCTTCTTTATGCTAAAAGAATTCATTATTGTCACATTATCAACCCACGTAATTCAGGCGTGGATTTCTGGATCCTTAGATCTTTGAGGGAGAATCTCACAATCCTTTTTGACATTTACATATCTTGATATATTTGAATTCTTAGATCCCTACGGATCTTTATATGCTCGTAAGTACCTGGATATTTTTATCTTATACGTTCTTAAAGTATTCATATCTCATTAGGTCTCTTTAGATCCATTGATTCTCAAAGTGTTGAATCTTCAAATATCCATAGATCTAAGGATCCGAATGCTGTGATCGAAGGCTACCTACCTAAAAACAACGTTTCGGGTACACTCACCCAAGTCCACTGGACGGCTCCTACCGCTAATCTTATTTAAGTTTCATGTTAATCGCAATCGCTAAAGAATAAATGTTTCATTGTTAACGCGTAACAGGCAATCTTTCCGCAAATGATTACCTCTCGTTTCCGTCAATACGACGCGCGATTGTGCCGTTCATTCGAAAAACTGTTTGTGCAAATGGTTGCCTAATATTCTTTTATTATCCGCGAAGCTTCGGAAGCTATTTCGCATAGTAACGTTATTTAAGAAACTCACAAACAAGATTGCAAACGGCTTATGTCTTTCAGTCGGAGATACACTCAGATACTTGGAATGTTCTCAATACTTATATGTTCTTACCTATGTTACCAGATACTTAAATACTTTAATTAGAGAATTGTCAAACGTGCGAAGAAAAAACTCTGACTCTAACGACTAATAATTGTTGAAAATAGTTGAAAGAAAATGCTTTTTTTTTTTACTTTTCAGGAATGTACCTCCGTCTTTTGCACCATGAAGAAACGACTTCTACCGTCGAAGCTTTAACGTTAATTGACACAATACAAGATCCTACCACGCGGATGCGCTGACTACAATTCGACCAAGTTCACCAAATTAAATGGCAGCCACTTCCGATCAAGCAGCAACAGTCGTCACAGAATGAAGTGGAGCGTTTCTCGAAGCGAGATGATCCGTGGAAACGCGCGTCGCGATCGAGATCGATCCTAGGTGAGATTCTCGTCCTCGTCGTCGCTGGGACCACCTGTAGGACAGCATAGTCCTTCGGAGCCGTCACTTCTGATGCAAAATAGCAATGTTTCGGCCGCTGTCACTTCGTGCGGCACGATTCCGTGAAATTCCTTCAGATCCGCCGCGGGGAACCAGGCCTTTTCGTTGTCATCAATGATGAGGATTCCAAAGTATCTGAAAGGAATCGATTGGCGTAAAACACGCGTGAAAAAACAAAACCACGATGATTGTCGGATAAAATTAAGATCAATGCCAACCTGCAAATCGCGACTGCAGGTATCCACAGAACGGAAGTGAGAATGAGAATAGCGATGAGAACTAGCGCCCAGATAGGCCAGTCGTGTTTCTCGGTGACACCTTTACTCGTCACCCAGGCCGGATAACCGCTTCCTTCGAAAAATATCTCGACAAAGGACGCGATCAGGATGCTCAACATTGCCAACGGACTGAGATACTTCCAACATATTAGCCAATAGAGGCCAGGCCGATTGCCGGTCATCAGTTCGATGTCGTCAGCGAATCTGCGGGCGCCGCAATGCATCAATACGTATACTTTCAATCTAAAATCCCAAGGCTGCAAGTAGTGCTTTCCACGCTCACCTTTTCAAACCATAGACATAAGACACTCCTATACATTCGAAGAACGCGATTATGAGCAGCGGAAAATTTCCGCTGAAGTTATCGAACAATACGAAGACGTAACTGCCAGCGCCATGGGCGAAGGCCATGGAGATTACGCAGCACACCAAACAAATCACACCTGCGTGCAAAAATCGAATTTATTCTTGTAGACTCGTGTAAAGCCCTTGCCCGTCCTGATGGAAATATTTTGCTGAAAGTACTATGAAATCAATGAAAAGTAAAATAAAAGTTTTTGAAAAATTACTGAATATATTTCAAAGTAAATCATAATTTTCCGTATAAAAATTTAATGTAATACTATGAAATATGAGGAAAGTTAAAATATACTGCTGATACAAGTAATAAAAGAGTTTTGAGATAATTATCATTATGAAATTTACTGAATTAAACTGAAAACTGTTACTGTTTAATGCAAAATTGCTGAAATATTTATGAAATTGATTAATGGGGTCAATTGAGAGAATACTTCAAATACATTTCAGCAAAATTTCGTTAAATTTCCAGAAAAATATTTCCATCAGGGCGGGGCAATATTCTTCTCATCGCTGTAATTTTTACCTGTCAAAATTTCCTTCCTCAAGTTCGGGAAGAGCTTCATATCAACAATACTAGTGACGACACCCTCCAGAGTGCCGAACTGAGAATCGATTCCCAGCGTGAACAGCATCAGGAAGAACAGTATCGACCAGAATTGAGCGCCGGGAAACTGATTTATTGCCTCTGTGAATATGATAAACGCCAAGCCTGTGCCCGACGCTGACTGCAATCGTCCACGGTTATTATTATTCGTAATTTACATGGGCAACAGCTTAGCCGACAACTTTCGCACTCACATTATCCAATTCCTTTTCCAAATCGCACTCGGGCAACTCCGGCATGATCAAATTCTCCAGCGATCTATTGCTGTTCGTGATATTCAACAGCGTGCCGGGAATCGGAATTATTTCAGGTATATTGTCCTGGCCAAATATACTCACTAACGTGCTATTTCTTTCCGACAGGCATTGCTCGTAAACCATAGTGGCTTTGAATCCTGTTCGCGCGAAATCAGAGGTTCAAGAATGAGAAATTTCCAGAGGGGAAGTCACACGCACCTATAATCGAGAAGACGACGATTCCCGCGAACATGGATGTGAAGCAATTCGTCAGACTGACCATGATAGCATCGCGGTAGCAATTGTTGTTCACCGGATTGTAGGAGGAGAACGCTATCAGACCGCCGAAAGCTAGGCCCAGCGAGAAGAAGATTTGCGTTCCAGCCTCTAACCAGACCACCGGATCGGTCAACGTCCACCACTGAAGCGCAGAAGCAAGTCGTATTTAAATTTTATTAATTATTAATTATTTAATATTCATCCCAGCAAACACAGAACATTGCAGCAACATTGTGGCAATGTTGCAATATTGCTGTAATGTTGCTACAATGTTGCAACATTGCCGCAATGTTACTGCAATATTCTGTGTTTGCTGGGATTAGGATAACTGTGGCGTAAAAGAAAACGCACCTTCGGCGTGAAGAGATGCCGCAGACCGTCCGACATGCCCGTCAATGTCACGCCTCGGAAGAAGAAAATGATCAAAACGATGTACGGGAACGTAGCGGTTACGTACACGACCTGAGGAAATCAGAATTATCATTTAAAGGTGCAGAACCACTTTTCTAATTTCATTTAATAATTTCATCTTTTCGATAATTGTTTAAAGGCTCTCGATAATTAATAAAATCGTGATAAGAGAAGGGGATCAAGAGCCGACGCTGGATGTAATTGCTTCGTAAATCTTCTTTATTTTTTATTACGTAGACCTTTTTGTAAGATTGCACTGAAGATGGTCGGATTGACGATCGAAACGTTTGCTTGCTCAACTCTTTTAAATAAAGAAGATCTACGAAGCAATTGCATCCAGCGTCGGCTCTTGATCCTCCTTCTCTTATCACGATTTTATTAATTTTTTTCATTTAGCAATTCAATTTTTAATTTAAGGAGCCTCCCGTACTTTGCCCGAGGATGCGATACCCTTGATCATGCACATGTAGACGAGGATCCAGGCGATAATCAGTGCCAAAGCGATCTTCCAGTTGAACACTTCCGGCGTGTTGATGTCTTTGGATATCATCAGGGTGGTTCGGTACCAGAAATATTGCGTCGGGCTACTGACCTGTTGACCGATTCTCGCGTTACACACAGTGAAAAATTTAACGCGCGCGCGCACGCACGGTGAAATAGTTTTGTATTTAGTGTAAACTACAGCGTTACCAGACATTCGGGTTCAGGCGCGTAAGATCCATTTTGAAAGTACCTATTGGGACACTCCGCCCAAGGTAACTGCGATTGGAAACTCTTCAAACAGATTTAGAGATTTTCTTTGAGCGGACGCGATGCAGGGAGACGAGGCGCGAATTGAACGGGCGATTTCTTACCTGAACGAAGTAAAATAGACACCAGGCGATAATGGTGTTGTAATACAGAGCCACGTTGAAGGAAACTATGGCGCTGCTGATTCCAATACCGCCCATGTACGGTGACACCTTTCCGGAGGGATTCAATAGAAAACTCATCAGCAAATCTTCGCATCGATCTATTCGTAAATTAGATACATGCATTTTTTTTTTATTCCATTCACCTGATTCCACACTCCAATGGCGCCTTTTCTCAGCCGCTGACCGATTGCCAATTCCAGATAAAATATAGGAATACCCTCGATGGCCAGCATCACGAAGTAAGGGATTAGAAAAGCGCCTGTGGACAGTTAGAAATCGTGCTTATGGGCGCAAAAAAAAACAAAAATTCCAAGAGATTCCGAAGCAAACGCACCTCCGCCGTTTTTCTGGGCCAGATAGGGGAACCGCCAGACATTTCCAAGGCCCACTGCGTATCCTACGGTTGCCAGGAGGAAAGTGAGCTTGCTATCCCAATTTTCACGCTCGTCCTCGCCCGCTTCCGGCTTGAAAGTCTTGCCGTCGTTGCTGCCAGGACCCGGGCCGTTTCCCGTTTTGCTCTACGGACAGAAATCAGTGAAATTCAAAGTCGCGCGGGAAAAGATAGACAAGTACCTTGCTAGGACTGGTATCTTCGAAGGCCGCGTTCGTGGCCCCGTAATTGGCAGTGGCGACGTTCTTTCGATTATCCACCACTAATCTACCACGCATTTCTTTCATCTCAAGCTTATCGACGCTTTTCTGGGGCTTGAGGTCGCGGGAGCTTTGTCGACGAACGAGATGAGCCGTGTTCGCCATATCTTTTTCCTTTTGGTTTAAATCCCTCTCAAATCCAATCTCTTGATCAAACAAAAAGATCCAGACGCTCCATCCTGTTGAAAAGAGGAGATCGAAGCTTATTAATTTTTCCAAGGATAAGAGAAAGAAATATCACACATCAATACATATAAACATATGTTTAATCATTAAAATTATAAATTTATATCAAATGTCACAGCGCGCCAGTGCGCTATATTTGATTATCGTAACGTGAATTCGCACGTATTTAATTTGATTAGATTGATCTGTTTGAATTTATCAGTTGGAAACTCCATAAGAAGTTCATGTGTGCGTGCGATATTCTCATAAATATACAAAATTTATATCGACGGTGTGTGCATTAGCTCGGCATGAGTATCCTGACGTATATTTCCAATGACATATATTTCCAAAATACACGTGTCCTTCTTACGTAAACTTACGTATATATCTCTTATATGTATATACGGAAAAAATCGATTGAAAACTTTACTAGAAATTGATTTTTACTTTGACGTAAGTGCACATTGTCGCGCACCAATCCGAATTTTATTGAATACAATCGTGTACACCTGTGAGAGAAAAGGATTCAAATAAATATGTATACATCTCGACATATATGTGGCAGAAACCTCCGTTTTAATCGGACGAATATGTACGCCCTCGCACGCGAGAACCTTCACTTCGTTCGGACGTACGTATCCGCGATTGACATAGAAACCCCGAATTCCCTCGCGACCGCTTGATTAGAACGTTTACAAACGTTCGTCGCGCGAGCGAGGAATGTCCGAAAAGTCCCGATCGTTTGCGTTTCTATCGCGAACGAAAAGCGAAGAAGCGGAATCCTTACCGACCTGCCGGGACCAAAGGAGAAAAACGCGCGAGGACCTTGTCCGCGATCGAGGAGCGGTTCGCCACTGGTGGCACCCCAGTGTGTGCTGGTGATAGTAACTTTTGAAATCACGGTATCCAAGAGAATCAATAGCTAGCGCCGGCGCCTCGACGCTCCCCTTCGCCCGCGACTCTTACGTCGGACGTGAAACCGCGCGCGAGGCCTTTTCTGTCTAAAGACATCGGGAATAAGGACGACGAAAAAGGAAGAAGATAAAAGATGGGTCATGATTTATCATCTTATAACTTGACATAAATCTCAAAATAGAAAGAAAACGATAAAAATAAGATTACACCATAATATAAATATTATTTATAATAAGAAAAATAAATATAGTATATTATTGAAAATCTCAGTAATCTAAGTTTAGTGGAAGAAGTTAGAATACTTGGAAATTCTATTTTTTAATTTTCCTTTAATAAAAATTAATTATTCTTAATACATCATAAAGTATCACAATTTTATTAGTTCCGTTGCCTTGTTGGATCCGTGTTTTCGCTTCCTTAAGGAGGAGGAGGAGGTTCTTTAGCCAGAAACTGCGTAAAGGCGAGTATATCTAAAACAGATACAACATTTATTAAACATTTCTACGCTTTTGAGTTAAATTCAAAATCGGATATTCAGCAAGTGGCAAATATACAGACAATTAGGTGCGACATTGTATTAGTAGCCCGACGCATTCTGCTCCGAAATAGCAAGCGAAGGGGTGATCTAACTCCCACTGTATCACCGTTATAAGCAACGATAACAAAGATAGACGGGGAAATCGAATCGCGGCAAGTGATGAAGGTAAAATGGAAATATGGTGTTACGATGCTGCACCGAATTGTCTCCTTTAACTGCGAATATTTTTGCATTTTTATAAATATACAGTTAATAGTTTCGTCGGTGCAGAAAAGAAATCAACTGAACTTACGCTGCATCTGTTTCCTTCCGCTCCGTTCATCTACGAACACCGCGGTCAGATCTTCAATAGTATCTCTTACATCATAGTTAAGCTTGTCGAAGCAGTTGTCGATACGAAGACACCTGATGCATTAAAGTGAATTATACTACACGGTTAAAAAAGTTCATATATTCGACTATTCTTAAAACAATGAGTACATGTTATTGTAATGCTGGTGAGCATCCATGGACCACACTAGGAGATTGGTAAGATTCGGTCGATGCGCCGTTCCGTTGACTAACACTTGCATCCATTGGTCCTTTACAAGCACTCTACTCCTGGCGTCTTGTAGATTCTTCAAATGATTCTCCATGTCCTACAATCGTTAGATTAGATATGTAACATATATCGTGTTTTCTATTGCGTTAAAAATAAATCAAGATACCTGACAAATGTTTTTCAATTGCATTTGGATATCTAAGAGACGAGTGACTTCTTTCTGCATGCACATGTGAATTTTGTGTTGCAATCTTCTCCATGCTTCCTCACCAATGGTCTCCTGCACTTCCTTCAAATTCAAGCTGTAACAATTGAATGAACATCTGATACATTCTTGTCGGACTTGCAATATAATGCTCAACTGGATTGTGTTTATGTATAAATAGTATATGTTTACTCATAGCAATCTAGCTAAATATGTCATCTAGTAAAGTGTAATTTATAAAATAAATTTTATTGGAATCTTTTTATGTCTTACTTTTTCTTACAGAGTTTTGCAACTTCTTGGATTTAGATATAAAGGAATAATTATAGTGTTATCGTACTTTATTATTGTTTTTTATATTAATCTTTATAGTCAGTTATCTTCAACTAAAATGTGTTAAATAAAACAAAATATGCAATAAAGTTTATATTAAATTATATAAAATATAAATAACAATTAAAGATATTTACCAAAATATATAATTCTGATCTATAACAGTGTAAATTACAACAAACTGTGTGAGGTAAAGGTGTATACTTGCCTTCTAATGTGTCGATATTGTTCGGCTTTTTCATCTAATGATTCGAGTGGATCCTCAGCTTGCTTTAATAAATTCGTCCATTTCTTATCCTGCTCTCTTAAACGCGCGTAAAAGCGTATAAGACGCACGTGAAGTTCTCGCGCTTCAGCTGCCATAGCAGAATAAAATGTGGTGGCATCACAGACGAAGACACATGGAGGTACAATTCTAGGGAATATTTACTTCCGGACCGTTGGTCATCGTGTTTTGGTGCGAATAATTCCTATGTACAAAAAAGATTTCCTATCTACAATTTCATGGTTTATGATTGTCATTTTCCGTAATCCACCGTAGTCATCTGTCAGACATTGCGTGTGTTCTGCTGTGTTCTACACGAATCGATCCGGCAAGCCGGAAAGAAG